CACTGGGGGAATCCCCTGATCATTTACAAAGACTTAAATATCAATGAATTCCTACCCGGGAAACGCTCCATAATTCCGTATGATTATAATAGCACTTTACATTAATTTGTTTACACCGGTCTGTGTATTCTTAGTATATGTAGACCTCATTTATTCCTCATAGTGTTATATATATATATATACACGAAATATATAACTTAGTTTCTTGTCACTCGTATATGAGATTAGTAAGTGCTCATGTTTGAATACACAACAGACATCACGACATTTATCTGGGTGTATTGATTAAAATAGGTTTATTTCTTAAAACTATATGAGGAAATTATTAATGTATAAATAAAATCAACGTTATGCAGTAGACGTCATAAAAAATCCGAAAGATTCACGAAAATAATACATTGAAATAGCACTGGTTTGTATGCACTGCTTTTTAATGGAATATTTTCTGGTAATTTTGCAAGAATTTTGGCTGGTATAAACGGGTTCGAACTCATGGCTTTAAATTCGATGTCCAGTGTGGTACTATGCAGCAGCATTATTACGGTTGTATTAACAACACAGCATCACGGCCACCCACTGCGAATGTTGAACATGGACGTATTCAGTTGTCAGTAGCAAAATGCAAAGTAACTCACGAATTTAAACTTAAATGCACGCCGTTTGAATAGAAGAAAACCTGCCAGTTACTCTACAGACAGCAGCTAAAAATATTTTTATTACAAGTTTTATTGCAATTTTGAATAATTTATAACAAGTTAACTTCCTCTGAAATGCTTTTTGCATATATTATAATACGCTTACTTACTTATGTATGCTGATAATTTAAGGTAAAATATTTACTGATGTCTTTGACGTATAATAATATGAATTTATTCTATTATGTGAATGTCACAATATTTTTAAATCGAGTTTTCAGATACAAGTAGAAGGCATATGGTCTTATTCCATTGAGATATAATGGCAGCGATATATTTTACAGTGGAAAATTAAGTTACCATCAGCTTGCAAAAACGTCATGGGAAAATAATTCTGTTTCAGGTAGCACTTTATAACGATAATACGTCCAGAAAGTTTTCGATTTGCCTTCGATGTATGGAAAAAACATAGAAACGTGTGACGTGGAAAATTCTTTCAGTTTTAAATAGTATTGGTAAATAAATAGTTTTTTCATAAGAAATGAGTTGTTGTATTAGGCTTAATAACTGTTACTAGCTATATTAATGGCAAATTCCATAGTTAATCTATGATTGCCTAATTTTTACGTTCTAATACCATAGTGGATCAGAATCTTTCACGAGAAACTAACAGTCCCTCAGCTTCTTAGGAAATTTGCAGACTTTTATAAAACCCAAAACTTCATAACCCTCTTAACTGGAGACAACCACTAGACGCTGCCCTCAGCTACATCCGCCTTCATTCTCCATGAAACAGACCGCCTGGGGACATCACATTTTACGATTAAATTGTTATATGTATTTCTTATATTCCTATGCATGCTACTTAACCCGCCCGTCTTGTCAACATATGATGAATAGTGCAAATTATGAAGCTCGTTATTACGTAATTTTCTCCAGTCTCATGTTGCTTCCTGTTTTTAGGCACAAATATTCTCGTTGCTACTTACGTCTCAAATGCTTTTGAACTTTGTTCTTCGTTTGAGTGAGAAATGAAGTTTAACACCCACACAAAACAGCAAGTAATCTTATGACTTATTAAACAGTTTTTCCGTCTTAAAAACAAACTTTAATCATGCATTAAACAAGACCATTACACATTTCGGTGTCTTGTATGACCATCATCAGGAGGCATAAAAAACACGATAAAAATTTATTTGTATGACAATGTTTTGAATTTAATATTTCGTTAAAATGTTAAAATAGTAACCTAACATTCAATTGCTAGCTATTTGAAACAAAAATTATCAACGCGATATATACAATTGCAGTGACATCTACCAGTTGTTTCTCCAAGATTGCTCCAAGAAGTACATATGTCAGAGGGTGGGCTTATGGAGCCCGTTAAAGAGAACATATAAAAGCACAATAACCAATAATGAAATCAATTAAAAATATACAAAATATATTCTCGATATCGGACACCCTGTGGCTCAAATGAGAACAATGAAATTTCACCTCTTAAATATTTCACACTTACGTTATTAGTAGGAAACGTCTTCAGATAAACGAAATTTAAAAATATCTCACCAAAACCATCTATGACATTTTAATAAAAACATGATATAACTATACTTTCATCGTTATCATAGTTCCTATTCGACTCTCATCATAACCACATCGACATAGTAGCTACTTCCTCCCTCCCATCAACTTCTATTCGTTTTATTTAATATTCAATAAAACCATTACGACATGCAACTTAAACCATACGTCAGAGGGGACAGTCACATAACGGCATCTTTGTCACATTTCGGTATCGATACATATTGTAAGTTACAACCTTTTAGTGCTATTATCACGTTCTAAATACTTAATTGTTAGTACTCTATATTTTTTTCCTCCACTGTTACAAGTATAAAAATTGATAAATAGCTCTATACAATTTGCAGGTTTGCAACGTTCCTTTGCACATCTGCCGCTTTAAATAAATATATATTTTCTGAAGGAGAACTAGGCACTTAGCACTATGGCCTGCCCTTCACATGAGTTTATGACAAGTTAATAAGCACTCTACATTTGAGCTGTAAATACGTACTAAATATGCACTATACCGCCCCTCCTAGATATTTAAATGTAAAAAGGTAATCGTATATTAATAAAAACCTTGACGTTGCAGGTTTCGACGATTAATATATCAACCTAAAAACACCGGAATTTTTTATTAATTATTTTGTGATATATTACCCACACCGGAAGTTGTAGTTACCGTATAATAAATAATTAATATGTAATTAAAATCTGTTGTGTAGAAGGAAAAAGTGCTTTCTCGCCCTTGCAGAACAGGATGCCTCATTTCAAGATTAATAGAGTTTTGCACATTTTAATCAGTATTCTTCCTTTGATGTCGTTGCAGATGCGTAGGATTACGTCGAAATAAAGCTAGATAGAAAGATTTCTGTCTTCTGGGTTGTTGCGCCGTGTAGTCTGGTCGATGTTTACCAACGTTTTAGAGGTCATACTATCTCCGTCATCAGGGCAATTCATGATGACGGAGGCAGTATGACCTCTGAAACGTTGGTAAACATCGACCAGACTACACAGCTCAACAACCCAGAAGACAGAAATCTTCATACTCACCGCTGTGAAAACCTCAAATCTTACACTAGATAGAATGGTCTGTAGAGAACGTCCTTTTTGTTTACTAAACTCTGCAACAACTACAGACGATTCAAAAACATAAGTTAAATAGTGATAAACTCTGAACTGTAAAAGATGTCAAGAACAGATGGCGGAGGGTCGTTGATGAGGCCAAGGCTCTCATCGGGCTGTAGCGCCAAAGAAGAAGAGGAAAATATGTCAAGAAGCGGTTTAAACTTGTTTTGAAGCTGCAGTTTTCATAATTTTGGACAGAGTGAGAATATCTTAAAACCCTTAATATAGGCCGAGAGTTTCTCGTTGAGATTTTAAATCCGTACCTCCTGATTAAAAACAAAAGATTTAACCCCATTCAACGCGATGTTAAATTATTACTCAATAAAACATGTTAGTAGCAAAGGGGAGATGCGGTGCACGGCTGTCTGATGTCTTACGCTCACCATAAATCGAGCGTGAACCTTCCGGTGAAACTCTTTTTGACTGGCTTTAGTTCTGCCGTGCATGTCCGGCCGAATGGTAGTCAGAATTTGTGCTACGAAAAGAGATTTGAGGATGACAGTCAACATAAATATATCACCGTAGGAATGGCACAGGAAACTGGAACAGTCTTTCTGCATCCTTTCCTTTGGGATGTAATGTCGCATGGAAGTTAAGCTTGCTGTAAACAACGTAAGTCGTTCTATAGCCTTTCCTAGGGATATAATATTGCGAACAGGCTAAGCTTGCCGTAAAATTTTCTTCTTATTCTTCTTTAACACGGACTGTGTATTTTGGCCTTTTCCTGTATTCCTATATATATGTTACACGTGGTGGGCACTTACAGCCGTAGTAACTATATATCAGTGCAGTACAACAAAGAATTCTGAAGTAGATTTTCATATGGTTTAAGTTTCGTTAAGATATAATGATTTATGATTCCTGGACCAGTGCCCAATCTATTTCGAAAAAAAAATCCGTATATTTTACATTGAATTCCTTCTTGTACGTCAAAAATCAACTTATAATGTGATGAACTCATGAATTTTCTGGTGTGGTTTATTTATGTGCTTGTTTTTGAGAAATTGCACTCGAAGACATTTTGTTTCAAGATATCGTAATTATGAAATATTCAGTATGATTAAAATTCAGGAAAAATTACTTTAATATTGTTTATGTGAAACGCAAGCTTCTGTGTTAAATTTGTGACAATGAAATCACATATAAGAAGAAAATTATGTTTTATATTTTCCGAACAATAACATTTTTAAAAAAAATTAATTAAGGATCTCCTGCATTGCAATATTTTTGTTGTTTGAAAACTTAATAAAATCTTGTTAATTGATTACTGTGTTTAAAATAAAATTAATGCACCACTTATTAGCTCCTGTCACTTGGCAGACGTGGATGGATAGATAGATGGAAATGTAATATTAAATTCATTTTAATGAACGTATGTATGGAAAGAATTCATCAGGCTCAGGGCATAGTTCAGTGGCGGGCTATTATGAACACGGCAATGAACCGGGTACTAAAGAATGCGGGTAGTTCACAAGCAGTGTGACTACTGGCTTCAAGTACCCCACTGAGTTGGAAATATGCCACGCAGACTATTATGTGTACTTTTGAGGTTAGTTGTATGGGGCAAGCGATTAAATATTGAACTAGTAAGCAACTGAACAGCATAATGTTTAGGCTGCTTATTATTTTCTGGGTATGTTAGAATTTAATTGCATGTGTGGTTCTACTTAGGACGTAATCCTGGCCTACGGCTTACAGAAGAGAATACTCACGATTTGCGGTTGTCGTCTTACAGGAGAACGGTAAGTGAAGTTTCTCTTCCGAGTTTTCCAAGTTCTCTTGTCAACATCATTTCGCTACTGTGCCATATTCGCCCATGTATCAACAGGGTCCGTTAGTGTCCGCTGTTCCACAGAGAGCCTTGCCTCTTCGCTACATTAATGAGTCTATATTCTGCACATAATTTTGCTCAGACCTAATTATTTCACATTTGTGAAAAGAATATTTCTTTACAGAAACTCAAGGAGCAAAATTAACTTAGAACCACTTACAGTGGACAATAGATATTTAAGTAGACCGCCGTTAACCCGGATATGTCAAATTTTCGACCTAATTTTAAGAAATATTGCGTTTTAAGTCCACGTTATATACCTAATAGTTTATGGTTTTTCTTATGTAAATTAAATGTAGTGGAAATGTGTTTCAATTTAGTTCACATTTGTGTGTATTCGGGGGGAAAATAATCGAAAGAAAAATATGTCTACCTTAAGCTTAAGTTTGAAATTATAAAAATTAGTCGGTTATAATTTTCCCCGCTCGTGTAACTTTCCCTGAACAATTGTTTCTTTTTAAGCGGCCGTTGAGTTTAAAGTGCCTCAGATAGAATATTGGTTTGTTTTGTATCGAACACGTGCGATTTTAGTTAGGTGAAAATAATTGGTCATTGAGTTTTACTCAAAATTCATGGAAACAGATTTTTTCTAGGAAAATTAACTTTCATTATAGGCCTAATATATTGTAGATTTCATTCTAGAGAGATTTTTATTGTAGTCTGTTTTGATCTAATATTTTATGTTCGTATGAAGATAACTCAGCGTTACAGGAATTGTGCGGGGTGTTGGAAAGGAAACGCATAATATCGTCTGTCCCGCATGCTTATACGTACTGATAAGGCTCCATTCATGATTACAGTTTCCGGGAGCAGCCCCTCAAGGTATATCTACAGGCAGAGTGTAATTTTAAGTCTCGCCTACTTCATACTGGAGGTGAAAGATATTTGAAACACGGAATTCTAATAGAAAATGCCTGTGTCAAAATAAAACAAAATATTGTACGCTGCTAAATATAACGTAATTCACCTATTTTCGGCCGAATCTTATATGACGTTTCAACTTCCACAGCGGGATGAAGATTGATTTACATTGTAAGGGCTTATTTATTAAATGTTATTGCCTGCACATAATTAAGAAAGAATAATCTCTAGTTTTTATTTTCTTTGTACGTAGTATTTCGTGTCCCCTGTGATATTCGTACTGATCCCTTAAAACATTTATCTTTTTCCGACTACGGTTTTATGTTACCTTTCGGCCATTAATTCGTGTGTCATCGCCCTTATGACGGAGGCAGTATGACCTCTGAAACGATGGTTAACATCGACCAGACTACACAGCGCAATAACCCAGAAGACGGATATCTTCATACTCACCGCTGTGAGAACCTCAAGTCTTACAAGTTCTGTATAGTTTGGCGAGTATGTTCTTTCTCCCAGGCCCCCACAAGTTGCCAAATGATAAGCGTCCATGATGCCTTCGTACCGATTCCGTAAAACAAAAATTTCCTTCGGTGTTCTTGATATGAAGAAAGCTAAATTCATAAGAATGACTCCCGCTGGTGATAGCCTAAATAATAGAATCGGCGAGAAACGAAGATTTTTGATTTGCGATATATTATATCCACTGTCAGTTGGGTCGTGGGATAACCACACTCATAAGAGTTAGAACCGATTTAAATGTCAAGTTTGAAGAGCTGAAAAATCATATTTTAATATATTCTTCCATTTTACAGATTTTGTTCTTCTGCCTACAACTTTAATGCTGTGACTTCATTTGTGGTAAGTAGCAGCACAGTTTAAGCCCAACTGTTTATATGCGTGTGTCTTTCTGGAGATGGTTATTGTGTATACTACTTTGTTAAGACGTTTTAAGTTCCTAAAACTGTCGTTAATGAAAAGAATTATTTCTGTAACATGTAAGAAGAATAGACTAATGTTAAGGCTATAATAATCAATAAGTATATACCAGTATGAAATGAGTCCTCTTATATCACTCATTATTTATGTTAGTTGATAATAACTTATACTCTTGGTTAATTAGAACGTAATTAGCATTGAATTATAGGTATGCACTTTTTATTTCGGTTAAGTAGTGTAATTTCGAGACATAAGATTATTTTTATGCCATGAAGTAAATAATTACATTGTTTTAATAGCATGTATATCCCGATTATCGTAGACCTTCCTAATGGCATATTCTAAAGTAAAGCATTACAGAAGTCTGCGAGGCCTGAGGTTCTAACGGCGGTGACGATGTCAGTGTTGGTCTTGTAGGTTGTAAACATGTCTAAGTAATTTAATAAGACTTGTTTTGTTTCTTTATTTTGCTTGTTTTCTAGTTGTATAATTTTATTTCCTGATTTGTAATTACTGCACTGTCCCTGATCGCAGTAGTAATGTCTACCGCGAATTGAACAGGTACTTTGGGTTACTGTTTTCCACATTAAGAACGTCACAGTCCTGAATCTCTCTGTCGGCTTTCTTAAATTAATAAAGTACCTCGTTTGCAAGCTTGTTAAAATCCAGGTATTAAAAGTATATAATTTATTCAATTATATGAATGAAATATTTCTTCTCGTGTCACTTCTTAACATATTTCATAGAATTTAGAAGTTGACAGTAGCCTACCTTCGTGTGTGTTCTAAATAAATGAGCTCAGTTGAAATTTCACTTCTAAATAACTGACAAGCTGTTTATGAGAATAAGGAAATTCTGTCGTATGTTATTGTTAACATTATCATAAGATATATTCTAAGCGCGTAATCTCCGCATTTTCGCCCCAGGACTCGAAACAGATTCAGCTCCGTTTGTAGCACGAGACAATAGACGATGTCCACGAAGGTTGTGGGACCCTAATTAAATTTAAGTTTATAGGCTGTGTATGTCAGATTATTATTTTGTGCGACGAACCATTTATAAGGAAGAAAAATTTAAGTTTCATAAAGTAATTACGGGTGTCGGCCAAAATCATATTGTCATTATAACTTTTGGTGTAGAATCCCAGAGAAATATCCGTGACGTCCTCTGAGTTCCGTGAATTATTTTCAATCTGTCGCTAGTCAATTAAAATTGAACTGTGACTGGAAACGCTAGACATAATCTGACCTCACGTTAATATTCCATCATATGTTACCATTGCAGTCAGATTGGTTTTGTAATTATATCACTTAGAGCTCACGTGTTTTAACGATTACAACGCCACGCACCGCACGTGGGGGCAATCACAGTCTCATTCTTGTCTGCGTGGTGTATATATGGAGGATGAATCATATTTGGAAGGTGTAATAGATGGATGGTTGGCGATGAAACTCTGTTGTCTGTACAAATTGGATTGCGGACAGACAGACCAGCAGCCCCATAGCTACGAAGCGTGCTGATGGACCAGAGTATATTCCTCTTGCTGTTCCGCCGCCACATCTCTCATCTGTCATACTTTTCCCTTTGTCCCTGTGTAACCTAGGCACAAACCTTCTCCGTGCAGATATTTCTGCATTCCACACATGTCAGTATGTGTCCACATATGACAGAGATTAAAGTCCTCGTTTCGTTCAACATGTGCATATGTTTGGTGACGTTTCCCATCACCCCCAACTCACTCTCACTTCCCTGTCTCATTCACATGCTGCTCTAAATATAGACGTACATTCCTCTTGTCTGTGAATATCATGTGACTAACGCGTATATGTGTGCTTCAGTGTTCTTATAACCCTCGACCCTTTCCACTCTGAATGTTTCTGTACCAATATGTTTTTCGTTATTCATTATAATTTGATACATAATTATGACAGATATATTATAACATAGTGCAGGAAGCTACCTTCTTAATTAGCATTAACCATTTTAAAATGTATGCATTTTTTGTGGTAAGAGTTTTAAGTAGCCTATACGTCATTTTATATGCTCACTTCAGCGGTTCATTAACGATACGCAAATTCTTTACACACGTAGTGAAACTAAAATAGATGACACTGTTGTATTTAAATGCCGAAGCGAAACAAATAACAACTGATTTAAATAAAAATAGAGGTGAAACGTTTTCATTTGCATGTAGAAACAAGAAATGCCTATTGTTTATTAAAATCAGTGTTGGTCGACAACTGTCTAAGCTTCGTCGAAAAAATAGTCTATTTAAAAAATTGTTTTTCTCTTGAGTAAAATTATAGAAATTCAGGGAAGTAGCATTTCTGGGTATTTTGTTGAACTGATAGGAGTTAGTAATATTATAGTAAAAATCGAGCACTAATTGTTTATGTAGGCAGGTGAGGATGATTTATGCGGAAAGTGATTCTATGAGTCAATAGTCCTATACGTTTCCAAACAAACTAAATATGCATTTCTACATATAAATTTAGAAAAGGAAATTCTACTCGGCGATACAGTAGGCCAACCTACATCCACATTACTCGAAAGTGAGAAAAGTCGTTTTATCTGTGTTCTATCAGTAACTACTGATGTATTTCGACATTAAATTTCCACTTAAAAAGCGGAAATCATTACACGAACATGAAATCCTAGAACGTCATGTCACAGTGGATTCTGATGCACAGAAGGGCAGAGAAGCGCGTGGTAGTTTCGTGTCTCAAAATAATAAAAAGCTGCAGTAAAGGGAGAAGCCTGAAGCTTCACAGCCACAATTACCGCTGGAATTACGAGGGGAGGTGGCTATATTTTTCTGCTATCTCAGCACCGCGTCTGAATTCCAGCAACAAGTTCCATCAGACCTAGCAAATACTTGACTTTCAGCCAGGCAAGTGACTTGAGTATCTTCTCTGAATAATCAAAAGTCGAACGCGGTATTCTAGTCAAATAACCCTGCCATTATACGTTGCTGAAAGTGGTTGGTATTTCCGATTCGTATTTGGGAGACCATGGGTTAGAATCTTGACCAATAATGCGAGCTGTAGTGATGTTTAAAGGTTTTGACGATAAGGTGATGCAGTGTAGGTATCGATTCTATTTTGCTTTATCCATTGTCTAAGTCTAGGCTTGTTTGCGAGTCTAACATAAGGAATGTATCCATCAGGGGGCACAAAATTGTAATGGTTCCTCCCATCGGTTACTTGCAAAAGTAAAACCAACTTTCGAAAAGAAGTCCAACACAACAGTTGTGCTTACTATATCCTGAAAGTTCTATAAATTTTGTAACCAATGTTTTTTTTCACAATCTCTTCAGAAAAAATTAGAAATGTGTGATGAAAATTAAACAATGTTTTTTCCAACATCTCACATGTTATTTTAAGTATGAAAAATTACTCGATTTTTTAATATCTCTTTCTTGATCTGAGAACATTAAAATCTTATGCTCAGTGCCAAGAGACGCTTTACAAGGATAGGTTATTTAAAATGGAAAAGTGTGATCCATTAAGGTATTAAGGGCCTACATAATACTTCACAAGTGTCTTTTGTATTTCCCTCAAAATTCTTAAAAAACAATTTTTATTTCATCAAATGTGTAGGCCAGTTGATTGATATGAAGGCGATGAAGAATTCAGCAAAATGTTGCTCATAATATTGAAGGAAAACTTGACCGTAGATTGGAAGGTAACATTAAAGTGAATGATAAGGAAATATTATGTAAACTGGAATAAACTCGTTCCGAATAGCGTTCAATGACGGACTTTTATTGACAGATAATTAAACTTTTGGCTCCTTAAAAGTCGGAGATTGTCTGCGACTACAAGTTTCTGAAGACGGCCTCTGCTGCAGGTTATAATCCCGTTGCTCACATATTGAATACGGTAATTTATATGAATAAAATCATAAATGTAATATGTAAGACATTCGTTTATCAAGGAACTCAAACTGTCTTGTCTGCTACATAAAATCGTGTAAGCACGGGTTATTTGCAACGTGCATCCATAGGCAATCAAGTGTATACTTTTAATAGCCGAAGAAACGTACTGCAAAAGGTATGTTTTGATACTATAATTAAATTATTATAAATTTACTGTTATCTTCCAAGTAATAGAGACCACGTATTAATTCTCAGAGCAAGCATATTTATGTTTTCCATTTAGTTTTAAATTGTCATTAAAAATGTCTGTCAAATAATGGTTTGGGTATTCAAAACTAGAAATAATGCCTACAATGCCCAGGGTTATTTCTACAGGAAGCATTTGCATCTGCGACAGACTATGACAATTTGTTTGCGTACCAGGTATCCCAGGCTGATATTTGAAAGGTCTTTGAATTTCCCTGTGCTTAATCGCCGATTCTGTCTAACGCCGTCGTAGCCACACATATTGAGATGACTTTTAGAAATCTGTGGCTACAGGGTTAATTTCACATTACATATATAAATGCTCTTTGACTATCTGACTGCGAAAATAAATTGGATAGGCTGTACATACAGAACATAACAAAATCTGTGTATCCTTGCTAGCTTTCGTTTCGTTTTGTTACTATGACGAAACACGTGACAAGAAGTAATAAAATATGAGGCTTACTTCTTCGTCGACACAGTTTATCACTTCAGTATTTCATAAGAGCACATATCTTGGGATCCCTCTTACCTCAAGGTGTCGGGAAGCTGTGTTCCTCAACTCTTTCTTCAAGTGGACGTTTCCCAAGTGGTATTCACATCAAAATTTTGTACGCATTCATTCTCCCCGTGTCCCTGCCACTTGACGAGTTCGTCGTAACCTCCTTGGTTTAAATTTGCTTAACAACAATAGATGGCACGCATAAATGGCGAAGATCCTGTTATAAATGTTCGCTTAATTAATTATATTTTAAAATATATACATCTATAATTTAGTTGCCTTGCAAAGAAATATGCC